CCGTAAGCTCAAAATATTTTATTAGCAGCTGTGTTGTGGAGAAACAAACTATATAGATTCTACACTTAATTTGGTCTTTTTTCTTGTCTGATGTTTTTGTAAGATCATTTTTTTTAGGAAACAAATAAAATCTGTTGACTCCTCTAATGCTACTATGTTATTGAAAAAATGTATATATATATATATATATATATACATTTTAGAAAATCTATGAATTTCATCAGTGCATATACAGTTTTGAACTTACTGTTGCTAGCACCATTCCCTATAGCCAAACTATAAGCATTCCATTAGACTATAGATGGAAAGTTCAACAAGGAATTCTGTTATTATTTACTCTCCCTCAATTAGTTGTAAACCTGTGCAACTTTCTTTTTTTATATTTGCTACTCTGCAAATTTGGTGAGTAAAAAAAAGTGTATCGTTGCATGCTGTTATACAACGTGGGAAAATGGCGCATATATTATATCACCTTTATATAACGTTGGAAGTATTGCGTTTGGTGAGCTAAAAAAATATGAAAACTCAAATCAATATTTCGTGTACAGTTATTTATTTATCTCATCCGGTATCGCAGTGTCGCGAACTTGCTCTCTTTTGTTTCATTCAAACGCAGTTGCTGCCATTTTGTGACAATTGTTTTTACTGTAATGTAAAAAATTATAAGATAACAAAACAGATAAGATTTTAAAACAGTTTCATCTCAAATCAGCATCTCTTATCCCCATAATTATTTATGTAAAATACCGTGTAATATGAATGTACCGTATCCCTTAAATGTCCGTCTAGTTTGAACTTGCTGCTTGCTAGTAACTTCTCTCTCCGCGGAAGCTTTGGGTTTAAAGAGTGAATAAAATATTTCGACTCAGATTAATATTTCATGTTTAATTATTTACTTATGTGACAAGTAGCTCCGCTTCGCGTCGGGGTCCTGATCACCATGTCGGGGTTTATTACCCCTGCGATAACAACCGGCTGGATGTATATTATTTCTTAGGCTACTCATCGCCAAGCTCTAATTTGCTAAATGTGACTATAAGGCATAAAATATTCAAATATTATAAACAGTGTTGGGGAAAGTTACTTTTAAAAGTAATGCAGTATAATATTGCGTTACTCCCTAAAAAAAAGTAACTAACTGTGTTACTTCATTACTATTTATGGATAGTAATGTGTTAGGTTACTTATGCATTACTTTTTCTCACCTGGGCTTGTTAGTTTTTTAATAACAGAAAAAACAAAAAAAAAACAAATGTAAAGGCTCTTTCACACCAAAAGTGAAATGAATAAGCCACAGGCTGAAGGAAATGCAAATTCACGTCTGTAGAGGGCGCATCTCAAACAAACATTTCAGGTACGGCTATTCTGGGGTGCGTTTCCCAAAAGCATCGCTGGCCAACTATGATCGCAATTTCGATTGAACTCTATTAGTAACTTTCGACCATAGTCGGCTTTGGGAAACGCACCCCTGGATTGCAGGAGAAAAAAGTTAAACACTCTTCAAAATTTATATATATATATATATTTTTTTTTTATTATCATTTTATTTTATTTTATTATTAACTAAAGTCAGTTTTGCTTATTTGTATGGCTGAACTGGAACATCAAAGGTCAGTAGCAAAGACAAGACATTGGTTAATAAAGTGAGATTAGATACATATGTGTATTATGTATATTATTTAACAATTAAATATTGAACTACATTCACCATCCTGTTTACACAGCGCACACCTCTGCCTCTTATCCTGCCTTCACGTAATCAGAATTATCGTAAATATGAGTTTCCTAGGTAAAAATTGGACATGAACGCCATCTCAAATCATATTTACCACTGGGAAGCTCTGGGTTAATTTGTATCCCCAAGTTCCAAGATGGGCAAGTCATAAACGTTAAACATGGCGGAAAGGAGAACGAATGCTGCTGTGACTGGTATTCTTTTTCTTTTCTTTTTTTTCACAACAGCTACATCGCCTTGTCTTGTCATATTTACATATATGAATAATTATTTGAAGTGTATTGTATGTTTTTTACACAGCGAACATAGCTTTGATTATCTCAAAAAAGTAGGAAAGAAAAAATTGTTGTCCTCCATGATTCCTGTTCTTCCCGACAAAAAAAGCACTTCAATGCAACGAGCTGGTTATCACAACATAAGAAGCGGGAAGTATGACATTTCCGATAGCAAGTAAAGGCAGCATAAACCAAGCGTAGCGTCAGTTCTGGCAGGTCACGTTAGTCAAGCTCGCATCAGCTGACTCTCAGCTGATCCACGTCTACCTATAGGAATACGACGCCTATCACTGCATACATATGAGCTCCTTCAGTATTATTAGCAGCTAACGTGTTTCTCAGGAGCTAAATTCCCTCCTCCATCCCCAGCTCCTCCTCTCATCCAGTCAGGAAATGGCATTCTGATTCCCCTTGAATCAGAATAAATTCGATTATGTTGTACTTTAAAATCTTGAATTAATGATATCTGCATTCATGTTGGTTCTGTTCTGCTCTGTTCTGTTTACCCCAAGGGGTGTTGTCGCTGTTCTGCCTGCTCTTATCCATGCTAGGCTGCATGGATGCGCAGGGAGTTCTTGCCCAGAACAGAACCATACCGCCAATCCTAACTGTATGCTCATTGTCAATCGTATTTGACGAAAAGTGGTCCTGAGAGAACTCCCCATTTCTCTCAACATGGGGACAGGAGAGGTGTCTGTCAATAAATGAGAAAAAACAAAGTAAATTGCGTTACTTACTTGAAAAAGTAACTGATATTTCGTGGGACATTTAAAAGTATGATGTTACTTTACTAGTTACTTAAAAAGTAATCTGATAACGTAATTTGTGTTAGGCCTATTTGTAATGCATGTCCATATAGCACTGATTATAAACATTAACAAATTGATTTTCTGTAAAGTTGCTTTGAAACAATGACTATTGTGTAAAGTGCTAAACAAGTCCATTTCACCTTGACTTCGATTTTGGGTGACCTAGATACCTTCAAAACATTGGTGTTGTCCTTAATAATACATGTCCTACTCCTCACATTTGTTGCAGACTCATCCATGATCCCAACAGTCGTTAGGTCATCGGAATTCTAATCAGATCCATGCACAGAATCACTCAACCATTCAGGTTTCCCAGAAGATCCTACTGATTTGCTGAGCTACAGACCTCATTGGATCCAGATTTCAGTCTTTGAAAAGGCCACCGCATTTCCTTCCGCATGCAATGTTTTATTTATTATTGGTTATTTGATCTGGTCTGAAACCATTATGGGAATATGTACCTTTCTGAATAATCAATAAATAGTCATTTTATTATTTAGAAGGATCTGGTGTGAAGGGCTGCAAAAAGTAAAAGTCATTACACAAATCCGTCATTGTTGATAAATGAGATCACTTGTAAAGTTAGACGGGTGGTAAAAGAGCCGCATGCATGTGGACGGTTCTGTGCATTGCTGAATACTATTAGCGGGCAGTAAATATTGCACGGGTCTCTCCATGGGACAATGATTCGGCGAGTGGGCGGCAGAGAGAGGGCAGTAAATTTGGAGATTAATTAACCCGTTGAATTCTGGACATTTCCAGGTCTCTGTTCCCGGTGACCTGTGGACGTAAATGGGACGAGCCCGTCCTCAGCAGTGAGCGGAGAGTGAGGGCTCTCGTCCAGAAGAATGAGTTATTAAGAGAATTTTTTGAATAGATGGAAAAATTGTAGCCTGGCTATTTAGTGTCATAAAGTGCAGCCAAGCCAGTGCAGGGGCTCCTCGGGACAGGAGGCAATAGCATTCCAATCAAATCTCAGACGGATGAGAGATGGGCCTGTCCACTCTGAATTTTTATATTGTGGAAGGGGCTGGAAAGAAATAATGCCGTCCGTGAGTGAATTAACCTCTCGCGGTGGATGGAAAGGCCTCTGTCATCTATAGGGGAAGCAGAGGAAATGAATGGGCGGAACAGAGGCAGGCCAGCCAAGCCAGGGGGAGGGGTAGATAGGATCAAAACCCCTCGCCAGAGATGGACCGTCCGTGGCTGTGGCTCGGCCACATGTGTTGTGGATAAGGAAGGACGAGTAGTGCAGTATGCTTCTTGAGCTTTTCGGTGATATATCTGAAGGCCTGATCAAAATCATTTTATTTTTGCATGACGTTCATTCAAATACATGCAAAACAAGGATGCAAATACGGCAAAAGCACTGTCCTGTCTATCTGGACAAACAGGTTCAGCCTACTTACAGGAAAACTTTAGCAGAACGCACGTTGTGTAGCTTTATTTATATTACCAATGAAACCAACACAAGAAATAAAGCAGGTATGAAATTATTATTTGTTCATGTGCTTTATTTAAGCTACACGATTAATCTTTCGTTGTCCTTTGTTCGGAGATCTACTAGAATTCAGAAAAGTTTTCAGATGGATTTACTTGTCTAACATCCTGATTTGCATATAGTTACTACCCTACTACATGCATTATATGTGCTACAGGAGATGGGAAATAGGCTACATGGCCTAACTCTAGCTGTGTAGAGAGAATTGTTACAATGTTTAGATATACATTTCATAAAATTGCATATTGATAACACTGGACTTGTAGCCTATGCTGTTTGTGGTTGAATGTTAGCTTTAGCATCTAGTGAATTTCCATTCATCCACACATTCTCAGATCGCTTGTCCCATAGATAGGGTCTAGTGAATGTCATTATCTTAAAATTCAAGCTACTTCACTTTTATGTTCATAATTTAAAACTTAAGTTTTAAAACAGTTCAACAACATGTGGAAAATAGTCCTCTCCAATGATATAATAAATAAAAAAATAAAAAGCAAATACACAAATAAATTAGGCTATGCAATTCATCACAAAACAAAACAGATTCATTACAAATATCACATGTTTTTCATTCTTTATTTATTCATTATAATGTTCTCTGAGTCTGACATTTAAGTTGAATACAATCTGTCAGTGCAGTGTGTTCAGACCATGGTTCAGACTGACACGTGTGTGTTCAGTGACGTGTGTCATGAGGTCAAAGGTAACCGGAAGCTGTTGGTTGCTGCCGGGAGACAGAACAACACATACAACGCTCCAGAAACATCGTATAATGTGCACTTTGACATATGTCTTTATGGATAATGGTCTTGTTTTGTATTCCGTTTGACTGGACGAATGAGAAGATGTCTGTATTATCTTAGGACGAGCGGTTACAACTGACTTTAAACCCGGAAGTGGAGCAAAGCAGTAGGTGTTAGCCTAGCCGCTAACACTCTTTATCTCTTCCAAATCCCATATGAGGTAGCGATTTTTTCTTAAATCACTGATCTCACACTCATTCTGCCAATTGAAGTCACAGATTGAACTTGTCATGCGTGTCAGTGGCGAGACACGTCGTTTATCGGGCTGTGAGCTGGGTGAGATCATGTGAGTTCAGTGTGATACACAGTTCCAGCTGTCAGATACTCATCACTCTCATCTGATCAATGTGATTGAGATTAAACTGATCACTTTGATCATCTCTGGGTCATTCGGGTAAGATTCTATCATCTTTTTCTCATAATTCAGTATGAAAATGCATAGTTTAGTATGCAGTGAATGCACATAATGATCAATTACCAGTACCATGGCAGCTTTGCTTTTGTTTATGTGCATAAAATACTTTAATATGAAAAGTGTTTTTCACTGTAAGACACTGAAGCATACAACATTATAGCATGTTAAAGGCACAATATGTAAGATTTTGGATTGAAATATCCAAACACCACTGCTATTTTGTTCTGTGCATTATCCTAAATGTTTCCAACAATGTTTAGCCTATATCCATAGCAATTCGCAGTTTTTGTGCCTTTTATTATAGTTTCCACCATAATACCATAGTTACTGTACTACCTTAAACTGTTACTGCATTGATACTGTGACAACTTGGTGACAACCACTATTGTTAGAGAGAGAGAGAGAGAGAGAGAGAGAGAGAGAGAGAGAGAGAGAGAGAGAGAGAGAGAGAGAGAGAAATAAGCTAAACAACAAAATGTGTTTTTTAACAAACTGTCTGCTTGTTAAGTCGTGACCAAGCGGCAACCTTCCCGTCTCTCCCTAGCCTGGGTTTCCCCATGCTGCCTTGAGTGCAGCGCGATTTTATTCACGCTGCTAGGCAGCCTGGATCCCATGAACCAGATTTTCGCCTCAGTGAGGGGACCAATCACAGAACGGGGAGGGAGCAGCAAGATGATGACGACGTCTATGCGACACACCGAAGCAGTTTGTTTATATATATGGATCCAACATGGCAGCAGACGTGAAGTTACCTTTCGATGCAGCCTTAGATAGTGTTCTAAGTAGTTTATATATAGTAGACATACATCTCTGACCCATCGTCTTCTTCCTCGTCGAATTTCTGTCGCTCTACATACGCCATCTGGTATAATTGAAACAATTGGCTATGAGCTACGTACAGGCGCATTTGATTAGACATTCGTAGCACCCAATAAACGGCTCTGGACATTCATAAACCACGCCTTAAATACGAGAAAATGAACATGTGGTTCCCAGACCACGTCTCAATCTCAATGAGACGAGGTCTGACGTTAGCCAGGCTAGTCTCTCCCCTTAATCCAACACGGAAGTGACTTAAACTGTAATTCATCGACTGGCCGCTAGAGACAGGCTGCAAAAGAGAGTCAATCCCATAGACCCCCCATGTTAAAATACCCAAATTTACAACAAAAACTATGGAGACAAAGTTTAGGGTTAATTTTTCCCGACAGTACTACAGTATAGCGTGAGTGTATTAGAATCATTTGTTATATGCTTTTGGGATCTTAAGGAGCATTTGGACCTGGCAACTGTGGCACCAAACGTCAGACTTAACGACCGGATATTGATCTTTAGACAGTAAAGGTAAGATATGTAATTTCAGATTGTGGATAAATTGTTTTGATTTTCAGGAGCCTGCAGACAACATGAGTGGCAAATTTGGCCTTGTGAATTACAGCTCGCGGAAGCACATCTCCATATCTGTGCCCTCGTCCACAGAGGTCATGTCACCTCATATTAAATCAGTGGAGGAGCTCAGAGTGCTGGGCATCAACCTGACTAGCTTCAACACACCAACACAGTTCTTTATCTGTGTGGCCGGCGTCTTCCTCTTTTACCTCATCTACGGCTACCTGCAGGTGAGAGTCCACCAGTGATCTTTGATTTGTACCTTTTGTATATTTGTGCCATTGCTGATTCTTGTGAGTCTCTGTGCTTTCAGGAGCTGATATTCTCAGTGGAGGGATTTAAGCCATTTGGCTGGTATCTGACTTTAGTGCAGTTTGGATTTTACTCCTTATTTGGCTTGGTGGAGTTGCAGCTCACTCAGGATAAGAGGAGGAGGTAATTTGTGTGTACATGTTAAAACTAGACCTGTCGATTGATTTAAAAAATGATTAATTGTGATTAATTGCACCTAACATCATCATAAATATATTTTCACATTCAGTCTCAAAATAAACAACATAAATGCAGTATTTTAAATATTTGATATTGTACATATTTCTTTAATTGCATATTTTTGCAAAGTATGTTGAACAAAGGCCAAGAAACCCCAGAAGTTAAGAAAACCCCGTTATAATAGAAGTGTACTGTTAAGAAAGTACTGATACCTCTATTAAGTGTTTTTTTTTTTTGTTTGTTTTTTTTTCCAGGTAGAGCTGCACGATTAATCGTTAAAAGATCGCAATCTCGATTCAAACATTTACACAATCTTATTCCTAAATTACAATTCTGCGTTGACCCTGCCGCTGACTCAGAGAGAACAGTTGTCATGTATAGGGATGGAACCGCTTTGTTACAATAATTAAACTGATCACAGAAGTACTGGGATAAAAGTTTATAGTTCAAATAAAAACACTGGTGTCTATAGTAGCTATTAAAATAGAGTAAGTCACCAATCACCTTTTGAAAGTAACTTGATGGTTCAAATAAAGATTGTATGAATGACATTTTTACACCAGTAGGTGACGACAAGTGTCTGTTAAAATTGTATTTGTCATTGAATCATTCATTCAAGAAATTCATTAAAAAAACGCTGATTCATCCAGTAATGAAACTGACAATGAAATCCCTTGAATCATTCATTCAATCCGATTAAAAAACTAATTCAAATTAATTAAATAGACTGCAGCATTTTAGTTTGAACCTCTAGTAAATTACATGATATTTTGCTTGGTTATAGGGCTGGGCGATATGGCCCAAAAAAATTATCACGATATTTTTTTTTATATTAGTCGATATCGATAATTATCACGATAAATGTCAAATCTTTATTTCTTTCAAGTTTAAAGGCAGGTTTTTGCTCCTAAGTGAAAGTTGTAGAAACCAGAGCGTTAATTGTGGTTTTAACTCTTTATTGTCAGAACATATCATGACAAACACTTGCCAAACAGGTGAACATTTCACAAATCTGAGGTAGAACTTTCAAACATTTGTCATTTTTCCTTAACAAAAATTAATATCTGAATAGAAAAATATTTCTTCAGCATAGTTTGCAAGTGCAGCCCGCAATATTCAAATTACATGTTTTGTCTCGAAATGCATATTTGACAGTGAGTTGACAGTAAATCTGCATCCTAACTCAAGCTAATACTACTCTGTTAAATTTATGTTCATTAAAAAAAACAGTAACATCTGTTTAAAAAAAAAAATGTAACGACCACATTTTTATTTGGTAAAATGTAATATTCTGACTGTTTGAGTTTTATTGAAATTAACCATTGGTCATCCAGTATCATGCATTTAGATCATGATAACCACAGATAAAACCAGGCATAGCCTAACTTATTGCACCTCACTATCATGGCAAAATGTAATGGTTTCTATGGTATTTGTATGAAAAACAGTAGCCTAACAGTTAAATACATTATTAAATACTATAATTATATTCCATTAGTCATTTAATACATTGTCTACATTAATCATATTATACAATTCAATATGTATATCCCACATTTCATGGTGCAGTTAATATTACTAGGCTAACCTTACAGTAAATCCATGGTAGGCTAAATGGATTCAGTATCAATTCAGATTCTGACTGTATCGTTGCGCGAAGTGTTTCTCCTGTTTCTCAGCGCTGTTTCATCTGCCTTTAAACATTTGGGTTCTTCGCTGAACTCAAGCGCTTCTCACTGGATCTCGTGAGCGAGACGATCAGAGTAAACGCGTCTGCTCTAGTCCATAGACAGTAAAAGAAATGGACAGAGCGAACTCATTGGAACTTAGTTGAGACAGTTGAAGCCCACTTTTAGCGATTTTTGAGAACTTCCGTTCCTGACGCGCAGACTCAGACCGACTCAAACTAAGCTTGATGACGTGAGCAACCTGTCTGACAGACGTTAATCTTCTAGTAGCTGTGCGTGAAAACTGCCAACGTTAATCTGGCAGAGACAGGGAACTTGAGCAAAGAGTTATTTGGCGTGAGTGAGCAGGAGTAAGTATTCCGTTGCTTTTATGGACTCATTATCTATGGGCTTCTCCCTTGACGGGACGTCCCCCCGATTGCCTGCGAGCTTCTCCTCCTGTCTGTACGGTAATTTCTGTACAGCGCGACAGAGAGTCGAGTGGTTATGACGCAATCGTTAGCCTATTTTTACTAAATCTGTTTCTACGGGGCCATAATGTAACATAGAAGGTAATGGAGCCCTTTATACATTGTCGTGTTTCTTTAGAAATAAATAATGGACAAATGGAGTCTTTAAACGCCTCAGATGTAAAGTTATTCGCTGTCAAAGTGACGCCAAAATGAATGGGAGTCAATGGAAATGCTAACGCAAGTGAAGTTCTGCTACAACATGGCGGCACCCGGCCGGCTTCAACTTCCGGTCGATGGATTACCCCCTTGCTCTAGTCATGGCTCTAGTGAGCGCGCGCTGCCGTTTGGACTTTGAGCCGAGCGGATAAACAGTCCGTGAGGCGCGCGCGGTTCAAATGAGTTTCGTTCCGCTTTTGGCGCATAAACATTATCGAACATTTATCGACCTCTTGATATCGTTTTATCGAGAAAAATTATATCGCGATAATTATCGTTATCGTTTTATCGCCCAGCCCTAGTTGTCTATTCAGAATCGTTGGAGAGAAAAAAAAAAAGAAGAAGAATTTATCCAGAATTGTGCACCTCTAATTTCTGACGATAAAATGAGCCATCAGAAATCACAGTGTAATTGAAAGCCAGGCCTAAACTGCAAGTTAAAAGAATTTATTAACAATTACAGCACATTAAAAATATTATACCAGCTTTTATTTTACATTAAATTACAACAGTATTCACATAAACCATAACCAATGTCACATTTAGCTGTACATTATGTGTCTAGCAAAGTTGTGTTAATTGCGTAAATTATTATTTATAAACGCATACGTTTGTACATATTTTTTTTTTACAGCTCTAGTTAAAACTAAATTCCCAAACAAACTTTTACCATATTCATAATTTTTCTGTGGTTTCATGAATTGTTTCTCTAGTAGCCCTAATAACGTAGTACACCTGTAACCTGCTTCACATTTCCTCAAAGCAATGTCAACAGAAACTTACTTTCAAGAGGGTTTTGGTTTTGTTGGATCATTGTGTTAAACCTGTTTTATGGCCGTGGCCTGCCTTTAAAAGGCCAATTATTACACTCAAAGATGTCTAGTTAGTTTGTTGATTTTTAGGGACACAGTGTGAATATGACAGTTGTTTCCATGCATTTAATGGGTTAGTGTGAACCAGCCTTTAGAAAACATGCTTCACAGTGTTCATGAAACAGGCAAAATACAAATAACATGGTTTTAATGGAATGCTGCTTCTTTCTTTTTTTTTCAGGATACCATGCAAAACTTACATGATCATCGCATTTTTAACAGTTGGGACCATGGGCCTATCCAACACTTCTTTAGGATACTTGAACTATCCGACACAAGTCATCTTTAAGTGCTGCAAGCTCATTCCTGTCATGATCGGAGGAGTTTTTATACAAGGTACATTATGCTAGATTTATATTTAAATCCATGCATACACTTACATTTCATGTTTGGGATCAAATATGATAAAATAAAAAATAAGTTATTTTATTCAGCAAGGGAAAATTAAATTGACCAAAAATGACATTAAATAATTGATCTTAAATAAATTCTGTTCTTTAGAACGTATCTATTTATCAGAGAATCATGAAAAATATACATCACGGTTTCCACTAGGGATGTAATGAGATATCGCAATATAAAAATGTCACGATGATATGTATCATTGATTTAAACGTTATGATTCGCGAATAGAGTTCGTTTTATCCAAGACTAAGCTTACTGTATTTCTATATTAGTATTCACCCAAAAATGTAAATTCTGTCATCATGTACTAAGTAGTTTCAAAACTATAAGATTTTTGTTCATTTTCCAAACACGAATGAAGATATTTTTATGGAACCCGAGCGATTTCTGTCTATCCATTTGAAGTCCATTCACCTAAAACTTAAAAAATCCGAAAAAGGTCACAAAGGCATCCTAAAAATAATCAATCGAGCGGTCTAATCCACATCCAAGTCTTCTGAAGAAACACGATGGTTTTATATGATGAACAGATTTACAACGGCATCGTGCATATTGTAGTAAACATGGATGTTTAAATGTACTTGTGTGCGTGACACGAAAACGACATGACTGTGATTAAGTGAAGAGAGAATTCAAATTTTTGGATGATCTAATGAAGTTTGGGAATAGTCATTTTGACACACTTTGTCTGTGTAAAATAGATACAACGAATGCCTGTATTAAAAGTACTGCGTTAGAAAAGTGAAAGTTTACAGAGTTTCAGTTACAGTATTACATTAAACTACTATATTTAATGTGGAATACAATGTTTAATAATGCAATGGGGTAATATTTGTGAGTCCCGATAATGCCAAATGTCTGATTTTACCAGTAAAAAAGGGCCTTCATTATTTATTTGTAGTCAGTGAAAGAGTGCAAGCATATTTGTCTAACATAAATCTGTATTTTCAGGTTCAGAATCAGGAGTTATTTTTATTATTTTGTCACCATTGCCCTGTGCATGCAAGTCCATACCCCTAGTCCATACAAAATTGAACATTTTAATCAACCGTAAATTTATTGTTACCTTGTTACCATATGTCTTTAGAAGTAATAATAATAAAATATTATTTAATAATTTTAATAATCTTTATTTTGGCTTAAAGTATCCCGGTAATATCGTATTGTGAGTCCAGTATTGTGAATTGTATCGTTACACCCCTAGTTTCCACAAAAAATATTAAGCAGCACATCTGTTTTCAACATTACATTTCTATTCATCACACAAAGCTATTATATGGCTCAGAATATATCTTATAAAATACTTGGAATATTGCACTTTTTTTTTTTCTCAAGTTTAAAAGTTGTGGTCACTATGAACTGTATAGAACTATGAGCTGCATCATCTTTTGTGTTTCATTGAAGAAAGAATTCAAATGGGTTTGGAACAACACAATATGTGTGTGTGAAATATCAGTTTAATGTTTTGTTTCTCAGGTTTTTTTTTTTTTTTTTGGTGAACAAGTTTCTTGTTCTTTGTGCTGTTTCTTTCATTGGTCACAGTTGTTGTGGAGTTCTTCACTTTTCTAATGCAAGAATTTGACGGAAGTTTTGATATCCTGAACAAGAAAGAATGAAACCAGCTGAACAGTTCTCCCTTCTCTTTTTATGGGGATATTTTGATTTTGTTTCTTTCTCTGGCGTCGTGGACCTTGCGTCCCCTGAGGCTGGTGCGTAAGATCAGCGGGACGTTGGTTGAGGATGCGCGCGAGATGCCGACCCATCAAAGCTGGACCGAATCAAAGTGATGCATGGCAACCTGCTGCACCACCTTCACCCCCACGGCAACTACCTGTTTGAGAACACTCTTTGGCCTTTCCTGCTTGCTTTCTTTCTTGCTCTTTGCGTTTTCACATGTCCAACCTCAAACTCATTCTCCTCACATGCTTGCTTGTGATGAGTCGAAGAGTCCAGCAGAAAGAGAAAAAAACTCATTCTCTCTATTCGACAAATCAGTTTGCCGCTAAACTTGTTCAAAGATCTTTGTAAAGCCAACCTGCAGCTAAAGTGTCAAACCTGCAGCCAGAACTCAAAGGACCCAGAAGATAAGGCCCTCAGCTTAGCCGAAGATCAGATGCCTCTTTATGCGGCTTTTATGACATGTTTGAGTTGATCTGTGTCAGAGATTCTTGGTTTGATAGAGCTTGTTGATGTTGTATGTTTTTAGGGAAACGCTACAATGTTGCGGATGTGTCTGCTGCTCTGTGCATGAGTCTTGGTCTGGTCTGGTTCACACTGGCAGACAGTAAAATTGCCCCGAACTTCAATGTAACAGGTACAGGACTGCTTCTGCTTCAGTCTGTTGATTATGAGAAAGGGGCTTTGTTCCAAAATCCTGCCTAATAATAATTATTTGAAATTGAATGTCCTTTTTTTTTATTGTTTTGTTTGTTGTTTCTAGGTGTACTTCTCATATCTATGGCCCTCTGTGCGGATGCCGCTATTGGAAATGTGCAGGAAAAAGCAATGAAACTCCATAACGGGACCAACTCGGAGATGGTACATCCTATTTAAAATGATGACCATCATTATGTTGTTTGTCTCTCTTGTGTCCAGGTTTATTATTCATTGTTGTCCATGTGTTGCAGGTCTTATATTCCTATTCTATTGGTTTTGTGTATATTCTATTGGGTCTGCTGTCTGTTGGGGGGATTGGACCTGCTGTTTCCTTCTGCTCTCAGGTGGGTTTTAACACAAATATAAAAATACACATTCATTTTGATTTGAAAAATGTCCATTTATTATAGTACTTCGATTGTTGCACCAAAAGCACTGGAGTAAAAGATTAAATGGGCTATTTTTGATGATATACCTATAAGACAAACTATATGTAAATGAAGTCTGTTGTGATTAGATAACTACATATGTGTAGTTCTCTTACGAGAGGTTCTCTCGTATTGCGTAAGCTAGCTTACGCTACGGGAAAGATTCATCTTTGCTGAGATATTGAAGCCAAAAAATTATTTCATAATTTTGTATCCATACACAACGCAGTTCCTCTGCGGCAGACCTAGAGCGGGCTAGCTAGCAGCTCATTGGTTCGCTCAGAGAGAACTGCTTAAGCCTATGGGAGAGCGGGGCTGAACCCGCTTCCAATGAGAGGCGCCCGCGCGCTCATTGCGTCATGACCCGCCAGAATGGGCGTGGCCATGGTGTATATAAGGCGCTCTCCCAGGCTTATATGTTGATTCATTTCATCTTCAGCAAGCTGCACGCTTCTGCTGTTCCTGAGAAAAGCCATCGCCGTCGAAGAAGGCATCCTCTAGCGAGCTCAAGGACCCTGAAGAAGCCGGCCGTCTTCGCCACCTTCAGCCGCCCAGCAAGCTAGGCCATCCGACGATTGTATCCTTTCTCTATTTCTAAAAGAGCCGAGCGTCTTTTTAAAGATGTCTCGTTTTTCCTGCGGCTCTTGCCGCGCTCGTCTCGAGGACGGAGTCCTCCATGTCATCTGCGCTCTCTGCTTGGGACTCGAGCATGCAGAACTCGCCCTCGCTGATGGAGGATGCGACCTCTGTGAAAGCCTGCCGTTATCGTCCCTGCGGGCACGACTTCTGGCAGTGAAAACCGCTCCCGCGCCGCCTATTCTCTCGCCGCGTAAAAAGAAACGCCGCTCTCAAAGGCCGCCGGAGCCCCCAGCGGAAACATGCGGGCCGCCGCCGCCGCCTCCCGCTTCCCGCTCTCCCTCCCCGCCCCTGCCGGACATTCAGTTGCCGCCGAGTGGCCGCTCTGTTGTTTCCGATGACGCCGCGGAGGAGAAGGACTCCTGTTCACTGCTCGCTTCTGACAGTGAAGACTGGTCATCTCTCGGATCCGCGAGAGAGTCGACGGGGACCCGCGCCGGGATAGAAGAGGAGCTGATGCGCCTCCTCTCACAGGCCGTCGAACGCCTCGGTCTCGAGTGGTCTCCTCCACCCGAGCAGGCCCCGAACCGAATGGACGGTAGCTTTTTTCATCGGCGCTCGACCCCCGCGTGCACCCGGGCCGCTCCATTCCTGCCTGAACTTCACGCAGAGCTGACAAAATCCTGGAATGCACCGGTCTCGGCTAGAAATCGCTCCGATGTATCCGCCTCGCTGCGCTCGGTGGACGGAGCCGCCGAGAAAGGCTATGCAGCCATGCCGCCCGTCGAGGACTTGGTCGCCACACACCTCTGCCCGCCCTCCGCTAGATGGCGTTCTTCACCCACGCTTCCTTCGAAGGCTTGCAGAGCGACCTCGAGCTTTCATGCTCGCGCTTACGCCGCCGCCGGTCAGGCCGCCGCTGCGCTTCACTCTATGTCTGTCCTCCAAGTGTTACAGAGCGATATTCTCCGTGAATGGGCCGAAGGCGGTAGAAAAACCCCCCCCGCCGTCACGGATTTGAGAAGTGCTACGGATCTCGCCCTTCGCGCCACTAAAGCCGCCGCACAAGCTCTGGGGAAATGCATGGCCAGCCTTTGTGTTGCTGAGAGACACTTATGGCTCACGCTCGCCGACATGGGAGATTCTGAGCGCGCCGCGTTTCTCAACGCGCCCCTCTCCCCGACGGGCCTGTTTGGATCTGCCGTCACGGGAATCGTCGATCGCTTTTCTGAAGTACAGAAAGCTTCTCAGGCGATGAACTTGTTTCTACCCCGCCGCGCTAGCTCTTCAGCGGGCCGCTCTCACGAGCCCTCCGCCAGAGCCCCATCACAGCGCCCCCCTCCGCAGACTCAAACAACTCAGCGCAGTCAGAGCGGCCGCCCTCGCCCTCGCTCTCGCTCTGACAGCCGCCGCAGACCGCCGCCCCCCCGTGGCCCGCGACCTAAGATCACGCTGAAGCCTGATCATCAGAAGTCTGCCTAACAATGTCAAGAAAACGACGGTGCTCTCCCGCCGCGGCCGGACCGCCGTCAAAGCTTCGCCCTCTGCCAGTCCCCGTTATTTCGCCGACTGCTGTAGTGTTGACCGCCACAAACAAGCCGGTGTCCCAGCCCGCTTGCGAGCGACAAAAAGCCGTTTTTACGGCTACCCAGAGAAATCTCAAAAAGAGAAATTTTGCCAGTTGTGTAGAAAATGTGCCCACAATCATGTGCTCACCCATACACACAAGCATAACATATCCCGTGTCTCTATCAGAGCCCCATCACATGAAACGGGCACAGCCCGCTCTAATATCAGAGAACATAAACACGCCCACGAGCTTGTGCACGTGTCCCCTCTCTGCTCGCTCTGTGTCACGGCCCATAGACTCCTCTCTGAGTGCAAATCCCGTTGCCACACACATTCAAAGCGCGCCCACACACTGTGTCCAGCCCGCTATGTGCAGCAATCAGGGCAATACAGCCATTCGGCCACTAGCCGCATGCTCCAAAGCGTGGGAAGCCATTCCAGGCATTTCCCCGTGGGTGTTAAGCATTATAAAGAACGGCTACCTGCTACAGTTTCGCCGCCGCCCGCCTCGTGCGCGCGCGCAGCTCGAATCTTCTGTCAGCCCGCTGGCCGCCGGCACGCTCCGCTCAGAAATTGCGACGCTGTTGCAAAAGGGCGCGATAGAGAGAGTCCCGCCATCTATGACCGAGTCGGGGTTTTACGGCCGTTATTTTCTGGTTCCCAAGAAAGACGGCGGCCTCAGACCGATCTTAGATCTCAGGTCTTTGAACAAAGCGCTCATGAAGAGACCGTTCAAGATGCTCACTACCAGGAAACTCCTCGCGCAGGTGCGCCAAGGGGACTGGTTCATATCTCTAGACCTGAAAGACGCCTATTTTCAGATCCAGATAAATCCCCGTCACAGGCCATTCTTACGTTTCGCCTTCGAGGGTCTTGTTTATCAATACGCCGTTCTCCCGTTCGGCTTATCTCTGGCGCCCCGTACATTCACGAAGTGCATGGATACGGCGCTCGCCCCCCTGCGAAGCCAGGGGCTGCGCATTCTGAATTATCTGGACGACTGGCTGATTTTGGCCCAATCACAGACGGAGCTTCTGTCGCACCGCGCAGTTCTCCTCGACCATTTGGAAACGCTGGGCCTCTCTGTCAACTGGACAAAGAGCTCCCTTCATCCCAGTCAATCGATTTCCTTCCTAGGAATAGATTTGGACTCGGTCACGATGACGGCTCGCCTGTCTACACAGCGCGCGCGCAGTGTTCAGCGTCTAGCCGCCTCGTTCCAGATGGGCACCCGCAGGCCTCTGAAAACTTTTCAGAGGATGCTGGGTTACATGGCCTCAGCCTCCGCTGTACTTCAGCTGGGCCTTCTGCACATGCGCCCGCTTCAGTTCTGGTTGAACAGCCGTGTACCCCACCGCGCGTGGAACACGGGTCGCCAGCTGATCAGGGTTACGCAAACGTGTCTCACGGCGCTGCAGCCATGGACAGTAGCAGAATGGTTTCGTCTAGGCGTCACGATGGGGACCTTTTCCTGCCGAAAAGTCATCTCGACAGATGCATCCAACACGGGTTGGGGTGCAGTCTGCGAGGGCTCACCGGCCTTCGGCCACTGGTCGATTCAGGAAAGCCCATTACATATAAACTGTCTGGAAATGCTGGCGGTCGAGAACGCGCTCTCGCACTTTCTCCGGCGCATCCAGGGACACCACGTCCTGATCCGTTCGGACAATATGGCCGTGGTCTCCTATCTCAACCGTCAGGGCGGTGTCAGATCCAGAAATCTCTGTCGACTGACGCACCGCATTCTAGTTTGGTCTCAGAGCCGCCTGCTCTCGCTCAGAGCGACGCACGTGCCGGGCCATCTGAACGACGGTCCAGACATACTGTCCAGGAACCTCATCTCCACAGGAGAATGGTCCCTGAACTCACAGACGGTCCAGTTACTGTGGCGACTATTCGGCAGAGCAGAAGTAGACCTCTTCGCGTCAGAAGAGAACGCTCACTGTCCAATATATTTCTCGAAGAGCGAGGACGCGCTAGCCCAGGAATGGCCTCGCCGCCCGCTCTATGCATTCCCTCCGATCGCTCTGTTACCACAGGTAATTCAGAGGATCAGGGACACACGCCACTCGGTGCTCCTCATAGCCCCGCGTTGGGAGAGTCAGAATTGGGTTCTGGAGCTCACGCAGCTGTCACAGACAGCCCCGTGGCCCATCCCAGTCAGAGCAGATCTCCTCTCTCAAGCTCGCGGCACGATCTGGCACCCCATCCACAGCGCTGGGCGCTGCATGCATGGGTGATCAACGACTATTCGTTGATTTGCCAGAGGGAGTAAGAAACACTATCATACAGGCTAGAGCACCTTCCACGAGAAGGCTCTATGCGTCTAAATGGTCTGTGTTCTCAAAATGGTGCACCGACAAACAGCTGGACCCACGGTCGTGTGAGGTGCCGTCTTTGCTTGTTTTCCTTCAAGAGATGCTGGACAAGGGCAGGTCCCCCTCCACTCTCAAGGTTTATGTGGCAGCCGTCGCGGCGTTCGCGGAACCCCGACGCGCTCAGTCATTGGGCAAAGACGAGTTAGTCATCCGCTTCCTCAGGGGAGCTAAGAGGATGAACCCTCCGCGGCCCCCGTCGGTTCCGGTTTGGGATCTTTCTATAGTCCTTGAAGCTATGAAAGCACCCCCGTTCGAACCGCTCGAGTCTGTGGATCTGAAATACCTCTCGCTCAAAACCGTTTTCCTGACGGCTCTGTCCTCAGTTAAACGCGTTGGGGATCTTCACGCGCTCTCATCCAGCGCCGCGTGTCTTGAGTTTGGACCGAATGATTCGATTGTCATTCTCAAACCTAGGCATGGCTATGTCCCGAAGGCGATTGGTACCCCGTTCAGGGCTCAGATTATCTCCCTATCGGCTCTGCCTTCATCCGATAGTGAGCGCGATGCCAATCTCCTTTGTCCGGTGCGGGCTCTGAGATTGTACACTACGCGCGCTGCCGCGTTCAGACGCGCTGAGCAGCTTTTCGTGTCGTTTGGGGGGCGCACCAAGGGTCTGGCCGCCTCAAAACAGACACTGTCTAGATGGATAGTGGACGCTATCGCCTCTGCTTACGCATCTAAATGCCTGCCCTGCCCTCTGGGCATCAGGGCGCACTCCACTAGAGGCATGGCCTCATCGTGGGCATGGTCCTGTGGAATTTCCATTCATGACATTTGTGTGGCCGCGGGATGGGCCTCCCCGTCCACTTTTGTCAGGTTTTATAACTTGGAAGTTCCCGCCTTGCAGGCAAAATTACTAGCTGTCTGACGAACAGCTCTCTAAGAAGCTGCATTTCTGGAGGTCCCTCACAACCGGTTCGCCCCTTGTGCTCTCCTGTAATGCTTATACACTTCATGTGCCCGCTCTGCTGGCCCCATACATGCTTATGTGTACACTTCATGAGCCCGCTCTGCGGCCTCTTTGTACATTCACTCCACGTTAAGAAATTCCCCCGGTATATCCCTGGGTTTTTCATGAGTGGATTCGTAGCGCGCACGGCGTTGGCCAGGTGTTCCCGTAGCGTAAGCTAGCTTACGCAATACGAGAGAACCTCTCGTAAGAGAACGAATCGGTTACCTAACGTAACCTCGGTTCTCTCTAGAAGAGGGAACGAGTATTGCGTTCCCGGCCGTGCTTGCGCTACTAGCGTTTCGCTTCACGCTGAAATAAATCAACATATAAGCCTGGGAGAGCGCCTTATATACACCATGGCCACGCCCATTCTGGCGGGTCATGACGAAATGAGCGCGCGGGCGCCTCTCATTGGAAGCGGGTTCAGCCCCGCTCTCCCATAGGCTTAAGCAGTTCTCTCTGAGCGAACCAATGAGCTGCTAGCTAGCCCGCTCTAGGTCTGCCGCAGAGGAACTGCGTTGTGTATGGATACAAAATTATGAAATAATTTTTTGGCTTCAATATCTCAGCAAAGATGAATCTTTCCCGTAGCGTAAGCTAGCTTACGCAATACTCGTTCCCTCTTCTAGAGAGAACCGAGGTTACGTTAGGTAACCGATTCGTTCTTCACGTTAGAGCTGGGTGATGTGGCCAACAAAATCATATCTCTGTGTTTTCTTTTTTTAGTTTTTTTTTTTTATATATTTGGATAAAAAACTTATATTTATAAAAAAAAAGCCTACATTTGATTACCCCATTACAATAGTCACTTTACATATGGCACATTTATTGTCCAACAACAAATATTTTAGTAATACGTATATTTTAGTCAGAATTATTGCGCTCCGTCTGTTTGGCGCACATGCGCGCGGTCGGTGCTCATTCACAGAAGTCATTCCTCTCCTGACAGCAACATGGAAACATTTGCATTACTTTCTAATTTACAGATGAGAATATGCCTGTGAAATGTAAGTAATACTTTGAGGAAAACACCACATATCAAACCCATTAAACAGGGCATGGCAGGGCTCCAGACTAACTTTTCCACTGGTTGCACTGGTGCTACCAACTTTCTCAGTTGGTCGCACCAGCATATGATTTGGTTGCACCTTTTTTTTTTTTTTTTTTTTTTACATGCCATGTGATTAATCAATGCATGCTGATGAATAGTGGTCTTAATCTGCATACCATAGTTTTGCACTGATGTAAAAAGACTGACAGTGACACAAGACCTCATGTTAGCAAAATATAATCTTTTAACTATCAAAAATATAATCTTTTAACTATCAAATCAAAATATTCTCAAAAAAAACTATTAAAAAGTTAAAGTAAAAAGATGACTGAAAAATAGTAGTATTTAATTAAATGCATTTATGGTGAGATTACTACATTTTATTAAATTAAATGCATTTATGATGAAATTCATTGTCATGTCAATTTGTGCTCATTTTGACCACGAACTATGCGCTGTCACTTTAAGGGCCTGCTCACATATCGCGTCTTTTGCGCGCTCAAGTTCGTTATTTCAAATGTAGGCGTGCGGTATGCGCGCTCATAATGGAAGCGACGCGGTCGTGGTGTGACGCGCTCGTTTTTTACAAGCCGCATCGAGATAAAAACATCTCAACTTTTCAGAATGCCGCAAGCGCACCATAAGCGCACAGTAGGTCACGTGACAAGAACCAACCGGAGCGCAACCGCCCTAGCGCTTTGTAAAAAGGAGAACGCGACGCGCCCACCATTTTCTACGCGTTTTTAGGCGCTATATGTAAATCCGGCCTAATTCAGCGTGTGCAGCACAGCAAAAATAGACTCAGTGTGTAAACGATCTCTGCACTGCTACCCACCGCTCCTGGAACGGATGCAGTGTGAAAATACCGTGTCAGGCTACACAAATATTGATCTTGACATTGTTAGCCTCTTGTCTTTTTTACATGTCGTACACTGTACATTTAACTTACACTTATAATGACTTAATTCCTAATTGGCGCGTTTCACCATCAGTGTGCATTGTGCAATGCACAATGACGTGTACGTTCGTTAAATAAACTGCAAGTGTCTTGCGGAAAAACATTGTAGCCAGAGCTACTTCTCTCCATTAATGGGCAACTCCGCAGCCGAGCCGGCCCAGGATAAAATAGTCAGAATATAAACACTACTTATAGGCTTACCGTAGTGATTCAGGATAAGTCAAAAACACGGTTTGGAAAATTGATTCATGATGTATTCGTCCATTTTGAACATACGGATTGCAGCAGCTGCTGATACAACGGCGTTCTGTTGCGCATGGTGAATTTAACTGAGTAGGCTACATGACCATGCGCTCGCACAAATGCGACCACATCAAATTTTAACTCGCACATTTTCAAAAAATGGTCGCAGTCTGGAACCCTGCATGTATCTTTCAACACATCCGACGGGGCAAGCTGCTTTAAATATACGTGTTAATTATATCTTACCAGTTGTTTTGAATCAAGCTTTAAATGTAGTTGATATGTATATGTGGTGTTTTTAATATGCTTTAAGACAAACCATGTGCAAATACATAAGTCAACACCATTGCTGAATATTTTGTCCTTAAAACTGCTGTGAAGCAAAGACAGTCTCAAAAACACGGTTTGAAATCGCTGTTGTTTCTGACGTCACAAACTGCCTTGTAACCAATCACGTCAACATGTGATGTCATGTGAACGAGTGGATCTCTGAGCTGGTGTGAGTGAGTGGAGGCGGGGCTAATTTGCATATTCATAGAATCGCGTATACTAAATGAGGCTAGGATGTAGAGTTACATTCAAGCTATTTTAAGGCATGAATATTTTTTTTCAAGGAAAAAACATGTAAATATGTAATTTTGGTGATCAAAGATGAGTTTCAAAGGGACACAATTATTGACCACAGGGGGACTTTAATATAAAACATGTGTCATGTTTAGGACAAAGTGGATAATGCACCTTCCCCGCAGCATCTCACTCTGCATCATCTGCATTGCCTCATTCCATATCGTTTTGAAAAATATATTGATATGTGCAAACTTGATGTACCGCCCAGCCCTTCTTCACATTATCATTCATCAGGGCAGGGCAAGTTGCTGATATTGCAAAGGTGTTGATTAGTGCTGCTCGATGTATCGAAATAAAATTTTGTTAGTTATATGGCTTTGTGTGATTTATCAAATCACAAAGGCTGCAATTTAATTCAATATATGCACTGCATGTTTCAGAGGGAAGTGCAGCACTGTGTTCTTTTACACGTGCAGCTTCATGGTACAGTGTTTCTTCTCAGAGGATAGCTCACAGTAAATGCAGCTCCACTCAAACTCCATCCCTGCATTGGATATGGCCATTAGTTCATAGTATACATTTAGGAACGCAACGTGCACTGGCATTTCACCAGATTTCTAATGAGATTATTTATAAACCTGTTGTCAACTAAGCAGAGAGACTTAAAGGTCTTCCTGCAGTTTTCTGCCAAAATAAAAGCTTAATGGTTAAATGTCTGCAAATTAGAAATAAAAAAAATAAGAAAAATATGTTGTAATTTTGCAGTTGTACAATAAAATGATTATTATCATTTTATTAAATACTTACTATTGTATTATACAGTACAGTAGTATTAGTACAATTGTAAAATATTTAGTTTTTATCTAATACAATTCACAAAAAAACAAATTAAAAAGTCTTCAGAGTAAAAAGTTTCTTATTAAAGATTGTCATTTAAAAATCGATATCTTTAATAAATAATAAATATTATTTTTACTTTCTATGCAGATGCACTGCTCTACAAAATCACCCCAATCATTCTAGAACAATTTATTCTTTCCAACTAGAGCTATTCAAGTCATCTACTGGAAATTCCTGAATTATTTTTTTTTTTTTATATATATATTGCAGTGTTTATTTTGTCCAATATTGGACTATGGCACTACAGCCATAGTGTTGATATTTAAATGTGGATGTTCATATGTTAATGAGCTAATGATTGTGATTGCTTTTCTAAATGGTGCACACCAAACAGCGACATCATTTTCATATTTACCGGTTCAGGTTAACTGATCCAAATAAAAACCATAACCACAAAGCTGCGATACAAATCTAGCCATAATGTTTGCATAAGCACAGGTGACTTTCATTTCAATGGAGCAAGAGCAAGAAGTTTTACATGATCTTAAGCCTTCCAAAAACTGTATTTTTAATATCTAAATGCCTTCTATCCTTAAAAAAAACTGTTTTACTCACTCAGCATCCAATGACGACATACGGTTACGCATTCTTCTTTTCACTGACGGGATATTTTGGCATTTCATTCGTCCTGGCTCTGATAAAGCTGTTTGGAGCACTGGTTGCTGTCACAGGTCAGTGAAGCGCTCTCATATGTACGGGTTTTTGGGGTGGTCATTCAGATTTAGCGAATAGATAAAGTGAATTGATGCCCCAACTCTGTTTTTCTTTTTTCAGTGACTACGGGAAGGAAAGCCATGACTATTGTATTGTCCTTTATGTTCTTTTCAAAACCTTTCACTTTTCAGTAAGTGGACCAGATTGATCACGTTTAATATATGTTGTCTTGCTTCTAATAATGACATATTTATATTTCTTTGATAATGACGTATACTGGTTCTTTCACAGGTACCTCTGGGGTGGTTCTCTGGTGGTCTTTGGCATCTTCCTAAATGTTTACAGTAAAAACAGTGACAAGATGAAGCTTCCCTCTTTAGAAGAGCTCAGAAAACGAGTGCTCAGCGGGAGGAAGGTGCGTCTGCTGTCTCAGGACGTGTAGGAGAATGAACTCAAAAGTTTTATTAATGGGATTCTCCAACCTCCTTCATCAGCTGATGCTCAGGTGTGGTTTGGAGTCGAATCAGCATGCATGGAGCGTGGGGACCTGTTTGAATCAAAGGGACATTAAACTAAAGCCAAAAAAGCAAAGATTTGCACTGGACAAAGGTGGAAACTGAAGGTGGAAACCGTTTTGGTAGAAGATTCCTTTCTCTCTTTTTGTCCAAGTCCAAGTGAATGTTGGCCTAACGGAGCCAGTGACATTTAAAATGAAAACATTTCACCTGCATGTGCCGTAAAATTATGGCAACAGTTGACATACCAAGTCAGGACTCTGTAAACTGCAGTTGAACAGGTGAAAAAAGTCAATGATTCTGTCTGTTTAAAGGGCTGATGTTCGGAAAAGGATCAACTTATCAGCTGCCGTTTTTTGCTAACCGTTTGTTTGTTGAAAGGGTGGCTGTTTTTACATTAAAAACAAACTGGGAAGTTGATTCAGATTCAGTCTGGAGTGTTTTCATGAATAATGGCGTCTCTTATCCATTGGCTCCAGCATGGAGAGTTGAAAAGCTGCCAAGCACTTTCTCAGATGTTTGGCCCTGCGATCGCCCAGGGCCTGTTTGATTAGTAATCCTGGAATAAGATAGCACCAGAAAGAAAACAAACACTGTGCACAGGGCTTGGCTTTAGACCTAATTTAGTTGAGCAGAACGTCACAACGTGTGTGTGTGTGTGTGTGTGTGTGTGTGTGTGTGTGTGTGTGTGTGTGTGTGTGTGTGTGTGTGTGTGTGTGTGTGTGTGTGTGTGTGTGTGTGAGAGAGCACATGTGTGGTTTGTGCATATGTGTGGGTGCCAAGTGTGCGACACTTTCAAAGCCTCAGGGAAATGATTATTGTGCAGTTGTTGCCACCCTCTCCCTTAGAGACTCTGCCAGTTATAAAACACAGCATTAGCGCAGATACACAAAGGAGTAGCTGCTGTTTGACTGCACAAAATCATTACATTTTTAATACTGACCATACAAATATGTAAACGCTTAAAATGTCACAGTATTTTGATTATGAAAATGAAGGCTGCAAAGCTTTAAGCAGAAGTGTTTATTTGTATTGTTTTATGCATTTTTTGAATACTTTTGTAATACTTTTTATTTTCAGCAGCGAAGACTTGAGCGTCACATAATCCTTCAGAAATCATTCTAATATGCTGATTTGCTGCTCAAGAAACATTTATTATTCTTATCAATGTTGAAATATTTATATTTTATGAATATTTCAGTGGAACACAAAATCAGAATGACCAAGCTGCTTTCCCTACAGGTGAAGCTTAACTGTGTGAGAGGTTTCATTCGCACTTTGTTGCTGTTTGTGAAGGCCAACTTTCAACCTGCACTCAAAAACTGTATTTTTTCTTGTTTGTTGGTTTAAAATGTATTTATTGCCGTTGCTTTCTTTTTAGGTGCAGTTCTTAAATATTATAAACATATTTAAATACACTATTTATTATATATTTTCTTGTGTATATACGCAATGGATTTTTTAGTGTTAGTTCAGTCACGTAAAAAGAAAAGGTGAAAATCGCCGGTTCTCAATAATTTGAGGGCCGCTTATTTTGATTAATAAATGTCATATTAGGTAGCTCACTACATGGACCCACTTGCTATTCTTGCTATCAGAGCAAATGATTCAACCTATATAAGTAACAAGATACTAAACTTTATACTAACCCTTTCTATGGGCTGTCAAGTGCCAAAAAATGCAGCATAACAGTATATTAAAGTAGTCATATGACTTAAGTGCTATGTTCTATGTCATAAATATAATACATAGATGTGTGTGCAATACAGAAAGAAAAAGCAAACAGTCCAAATGTGATTCATGTATTCAAACATGAAGTGAGAAATGTGAGAACCAGTGGTGTCAGAGTTAAGGAAAGATTTTTGTGGTTTAGCAGATTGTGTAGTTGTTTTGACATAATGTTTGTCATACAGTTTTGGAGATATTGGTCATTCTGTGTCCAAGTACTGCATGACTACGATGCCTACAGGTGTTGCCGAAATGGCTGCCGAGTGAAATGACATGCTGTGAAAAGCAATTTGGTCATATACTTGATCACTTTTTCTTATGAATGTCATCTGGCACTGGAGATGAACATCTGTGAGAACATTTTTTCCTTGTTTCCTCCACTTATGTCCAGCTGGCAGTGGAGCTTCTCCGGGTCATTCTGTAGTGCTGGAGTTCACAGCCTCAGCAGATTGTTTTCTGTGTCTCTCTATGAGCTCTTGTGTTTCTGTCAGCGGTCTAATGAAGACTGACTCCACCACACTGAAATGTTAGCGTGCTAAATTATAGAGAACAGGTAATAATTTACAATATCACACAACTTACAGTTTCTTGTATATAGGCCTATCTCAAAAAGGAATTTTTATTTGATCTTGCATTGTACACTAAACAAAGTTGCTAAATCAGAATCAGTAACAATTTTATATAATTGTATCCAAAATATAAAAATTAAAAAAAATACAGGAAAGTTACAAAGATAGTTTAAAAATGAAATTATTCAAAATGTATTTTGCATTGTAGCGTACACTAAACAAAATTAATAAATTCGGTATCAGCAAAAAATGTAATAATTATATCAGTAGCAAGTCTTAGGTACACAAATGTTTTTTTATATTATATACATCTTTAACCCACTATTTTTCAACCTGATCAACATAAACTAGATTTATAATGATATTGCCTGTATGTGGTTCTGTGTGTAAAATTAGCTAAATACAGCAAACTATTCAAACATTCAACGATCAGTTGTGAACTGGAAAAGAGATGTTACGTTAATTAAATCAAACCCATTTTAAATGCAGTCCATTTGTGGAAGATACATTGAGCCTAAAGGCAGTGGTGGATGTTTTACTTCATTGCTGTAGCCACCTACATTTTTTCAAGTATCTGTACTTTACTGGCTGTTTTTATTTTGAGAAACTTACTTTTATGTCACTACATTCCAATGTAATTGTTACTCCACTACATTTCATAAAAACAAATCGTTATTTGTGACTTTGAATTGAAGAAATCGTCACAAGCTCCAAGAGGCGACAACGGACTCCGATTCATGAACGAGCTGATTCTTTTCTAACCTGTTAAATCGGTTTGCAAATCGAACGATTTACTTGCGATTTGGACTGTTCTCGAATTTTAGGATTGATTATTGTTAATGAAAATCATATTTAGGTCATCACTTTCAGTTGTTTGTAAACTAAATCTGCTGTAAAAGGGTGAGCTGTAGCCTATAATGCTTGAATGCGGGCATGTCCATATCTCCATCTCAATGGTGGACTGTAGATTTTAAGTAAAAAAAAAAACACACAACATAACATTAAATAACACAAATTATTGCACTTGCATTCTTCCCTGCCATTTCAAATCATATAAAACTAGTTTGCATAGCGTTCATTGTAAAATGTTATGCATTTAGCCCTATATGTGACGTCTGTATTTATTTTTGTCAACACATTTAGCCTACATATTATGTATCTGCTGCATCCACTAATCTTCCTTACTAGTGCTGGCTACTGACAGTTCATAACAATTATATTAGACCCAGCGATTCCCCCTCCCCCATTTTGAGCAGTAGGATTATCTAAAATAATATAAAATTAATGTAAAAGTATGCAAGTATACAATTACAAAATAAACATTCATTGATCAGTACTTTTTACTTTTAATACTACATTAAAAATCGAGTAACCTACTTTTATTTAAGTAAAATTGGAAAGAAGTTCTTTTACAGGAGTAAAATGGTATCAGGGTATCTGCACTTATACTCCAGTACTTGATTCGTGTGCTTCGTCCACCACACTGCCTAAAGGTCAATTTTAGATCATAGTATGTTTGAAAGCCCCAGCTGACCGCAGCTAAAAGAACCATTTATCTTAAGAGAAACACTAGCACATTGAACAATGAAGCCTTAAAAGCCATTTGAAGTGTGAGCGTTTCATTCATCAAACAGTCTTTGACCCTATACACACTCAGAACACACACAGTACAGACTGTCTGCATGATGCTTAACATAGAATTGAGGCTTGGTTAAAAACTAAGGATGTGTAATGGAATTTTTTTTTTTTTTTTTTTGCTTCAGGGCCCTTTTTTTTCTAAATTGTTTATCAAACAATCGGTTTAAAAAAAATGTTTAAATGTATTCATATTACCATTAATTAGGCGTCATAAGCAACATGAACTATTTTGTTAATGCATAAACAAAATGTGACTTGCCAACCAAAGTCACAAAGGGGGGTTGGTTGATCTCTCATAAAACCTGAGAGATAGAGATGAGTCATTTTTTTTATTGACACTTGATGGGCCCGTAATTTCAAATCAGTATGTTTATTACTTGGTGCAGTCAAAAAAGGAATAGAAACATTATATTTTGTATCAGACTTATTTTTTCGTTATTATTATTATTTGTCATATTGAATACAACATAAGTTTTAAATTCAATTAGACAAACAAAACAAAAGATCAGCAATTATTATTAAATTGTATTATACCGTTCAAAAGTTGGGGATATACCGTTCTCAGTAAGATTTTCTTTTTTTAAACAAATTATTTTATTTAAATTGATCAAAAGTTAAAACACTATTACAAAAACAAATTTTAAATAGAAGCTGCTCTTTAGAACTTTATGAATCTGATAACAAAAAGAAATGTTTCTAAGGGCACCATTTTCTACTTAAAACTGACAACTTGTTATACGTTTTAATTCTTTAAAAAACGATTCTGTTATCGTCTCAGCGTAAACTACAAAAACGTGAATTAAACGCAATAAAGCGAGAAGCTTTTGTACAAGTTGAATGTATGTAAAAATATATGTAAAATGTTTTACGAAAGCCAGATCTATATGCCATACACCTGCCAACACCACACTCTCCCAATGGTTTTATATAGAATATATATATATAGATTCAGCATACATTAGAGACTTTTCTAGAAAATCTGGTTCCATCTCAACAACTATAAATATTTCTCTCATGAATGTCTGGGCTGTGTAAACTGCCCGCTTCCACATGAACGCTTGCACGAGTGTGTGTGTGTGTGTGTGTGTGTGAGCAAGACAATATTCACATGATGTATCTTGCAGATTTGCCGTGTCAGCAGCAGCGTTACAGGAATGATCTGCACACACTTCACTCCTGACAGGACTCAAAGTGCTGGAGCCG